CTGAGCTATGGGGAAGTACAGGTAACTTTGTAGCAATAACTATTTTTCTGGAACATTGTCAAATATTTGTAATTACTTTCATTCTGTTACTTTTTTTAAAAAATACTTCTATTTGAAATAAACTTCAATTCACTTGATTTTCAATGTACTAAAAATATTCTTAGCTAGAATTGTATTAGTCTTGATAAACTTCATAACTGACTTATACTTAAAGCAGAAGAGAACATAGTATGGACGTCCTTTGTTCGCTACCAATTGGTAACTCCAAGGACATCTCAAGGTCATTCATTTTCTTCAAATGGTCGATACGTAGGCCTTCAAGGTGACTACCATCACCAATCCAAAATCTTTCAGGGTCATTATAAGGTAATTAAAAAAAAATATATATTTGTTTCGAGAAACGAATGAGCAACCCTTCAGAAATTTCTATTGTTACATTCCAAAGCGTGTCGTATACTCAGAGAAAGAAATGAAAATAAAAGTCTTAGTCGCGTGCTGATAGGACATAACGATCAGTCTAGCAAAGAAGGAAATTCTTTCCAATTCCAGGTGTAATGAATTCTACGGAACGTGTGATCCCGGTTTAAAGAATCAGTGAAAGTTGCGCGAGGAAGTGCAGAGATCGAGCGCGTCGCCATCCTTCGGATATGCAGCCAACTACCTCGTCCAGCTTGGGTTTGCAGCGAACAGTTTCGATCCTCCATTCCACAGGTATATCAGCGGGTTCGTGTCTGGACTGAAACGTGTCCTGATCTACGGAAATATAAATGTCGTTGAAACCTGTTGCGTCGGTTGCTTTCACCATTTCGGCGCACCAACGATGTTGCACACTTGGCCGAAGTTAGGGATCTAGGTCTCCAGTGGAGAACTTTCGAGTTGGCAAGGTCCTGAAGATCTCCTTAGTGGTGGCTGCTTAGATTCGCGCTGAAATCGTACGAAACGGTATTCCAGATTTGTCTAGACGAGCTTGGAACTGGGTCGAACGTCTTTAAGAATCGGAGCTATAGAATAGGGGACATCGTGGACATTCTTGTGCTCCAAAATGGCTACAAGGTTATATTGAAACGTTAAAGGGTTCAAGATTGAACGTAGCCTGATACATTAACACATAGTTCGTTAACATATTCAGGTAATGATCGAGATTCAGAGATGAATTTGTCTAAGATGACATTGCCATCCATAAACATCCGAAGGCATTTACTGATGGCAGATTTAAGTACTCTGCTACTATTGCAGGAGTGGAATCCAAATCAGGATAAATGACAAATAGATTACTGTGAATAATATTTAAATTGGTTGTAAGAATACAAGCTCCAGGTCACCTTAAGTACAGACATGTATATTTGTTTCTATTTGTAGAAATTCACATCGATTACCGTCAATTTCCACGCAGTTTTGTGTGAGATAAATGACATAAATCGTTTTGCATTTATGATAAGAACCGCAACAGATACAAATTCCTTTACATTTGTTTATTTGTATATTTGTAAACATACTTCCAATTCCAAACATCCAATCGTGCCTGTATCGTAATTACGCAAAAACATATCGGAACGTATAAAACAACGATTCATTTTTCCATTTCGAACACGTACAAGAGTTAAACAAAATATTTCAAACAACTTTTGAAGTATAAAATAAGTACACGTTGGTACTGAGATACAAATCATACTCGATTAATCGTAAACTCGAGGTATCACTGTCTTCGGCGTCGACGTGCCTGTTCCATCCCATTTTAAAATTCCTTCACGATGGGATATAGTAAGTCAGCGGCTGAAAATTATTGCCAAAGATACGAGGAACGTTAGACCAACTCGGATATCCGAAATTTATCACAAGGTGATGGAACCCGAGCGCGTCATGAGCGAGAGTCGTTGCGAGTCTCTGCGGCGTGCGGGAAAGTTGCTGAGAACTCCTGCGAGTTTACGACGCGTGTTCCCTGTTTGTGCACGAGGGGGGTGGGATAGTAAAATGGGTAATAACCGGTAAACTTTCATGGCCCCCAGCCTCTAGGCCCGCGTCTTTGGCCACGCGCTTTCGAAAAACTTCACATTCCTCCGCGTTCGCCGAGCTTTCGCCGCTCGTAAACGCAAGACTCCCGTGAAATCGAGAAGAAAGACAATTTTCCTGCTCCCAGGCTCCAGGAGAATTCCATTACGAAGGTAACAATTTAAGTTGGCCGTTATTATTGCATGAAAGTTTATTAAACTTTCCGAAGCGCAGCCGAATGGCTCAGTGTTTTGAGTTCATTTGTTGGGCGCTCGTCAGGAGCTTTGTATGGGGAGAGTACATGTGTTTCCTCGGATGGGGTATAAAATATATTGCTGAACACAGTGGTTCAAATAGATAATAGAACATCCATAGAAATAAAAGAAAGAAATAGGGAGTAGATTATGCGTAAGTTGTAGAGTAGTATAGATGTTACATAAAGAGAATGAGAATGTTTCGTATTTTTATTATTAGCCTTTATTCTCAGGCTGTGAACTATTCATGTATTTATTTTGTACATTAGTTTAACATTTCGACTAGTATTGGTCTCCTTTATAAACGAGTTATATAAATACAATCAGTTCTATAAATATTGATATATCTCTTGAAGAAATTTGTTTAAATTAAATGGGTGATTTGATGTTTCTAAGTGTATGTTTGTATTAATATGTTGATGTATATATACATGCTTATACATGTATAATTCATTTGGTAATATAAAACTATTATTTCATTTAGTCAAAAGTCTGTAATAGACGTAGAGACGAATATTTATGGTATTGACTGTATGCATATAATTTACAATGTGTTAAGAGGTCTAGTTTAAACATCGAATTTGCTACATAAAAAGGATGTTATACGAATGATCCAGGAAACTTGAATGTAAATCTTAAATCAGGTTACATTGATGGATTCTGCAACCTACACATAGATTAGTGTTTAATTAAAAACGAAAGAAAAATGGAAGAAATTATTCACAGAGTCCATAAAATTACTAACAGAATCAATAGTTTCACATTCACATTGAGAATTAATCAATTCGTCAACGTATAAATGGTCAAGCAACAATTTCTTTAAATCCGTAAGACCAGATTTCCACCTTAGAAACAAATCGAAATCAACCCTTTCCCGAAAAAATCCCCATTCTCCAAAACATACAGAACCTAAGTCAATCATTCTTACACCGTGTCATTTAAATTCTGCAACTGCCTGTGACACTATTCTCGGATTTAAACCTACCGCGTATTAAACGCGAACTTTACCGAGAAAATTGCGGCGCGAAGTTATAAGGGGGTGTATAAAATTTCGAAATTTGTCTGGGAATTAGTCGCGACTACTGGTTCTACCCCGAAGCTGTCGTAAACTCGTGGAACGTGGTCGGCTCACGTTTTATAAATCTTGGCCCGTTAACTGATACGAGACTTCCACGGGATTTTCATCTAGCTCGAAGCGGCGTTATTTATCGTCGGCTGGGTGTATTTCATTAAGTATTTAACGTGCAGAAATTATGCGGGAGGCGAGCACGAAGCCAATTTAAATATGCTATGCGGAAAAATGTAGAGATAGTTCGCGTCGGTGCTGTTGGTTAATTCTCGTAAGTTAATGCGAACGCGTACGGAAAGTTGCAACTCACCCTCTTTTCATCCTGGCTCGACGTCGAACAACGCTCCTCGTGGGAAATTGAATTTTACTTCGATGTTACTTGAAAAATCCTTATTGTACCCTTACCACCTTCCGAAGCTTTACACGTCCACCAGCTGTAAAATGATGAAGACATGATAAGGTGAGAGTCGTTAATACTGCTGCTTCTTCTAGAATCTACAAGTTATCAGTGCGAACTTGTCTTGTAACACCTGAAATCTTCATCTGCCTTTGTTGAGTGATTAAACGGTTCATGGAAATTTGATATCGATACAAATTTGTGGAAGTTATTAGTCGTATGTAATTATATTGTGTAAGAAACCTTTTCTTCTTATTGACGACTAAAAAACTTTCTGTAATTCATTATATGAATATATTTTCCAGTGTCGAATAAAATTTACTATTTATCTACCGACACGTTAATATAATTGTATGTACTATTTATTTTTTATCTTAATATTTTTAGCAAATACTGTATATGCTGCGAATGACTGTACTGTATAGTTTTACTTAAATCTAGATATGATTCCAGTTTGTAATTCTAAATGACATCGTTTAAAAGCTGTTCCGCTTAAAAAAGGGTAGGGTATGCAGCATGTTTTCACAAGTTCGTAGACTTTGAAACGACATGTCGCAGTCAATAATAAGTACTGTGTTTGACAAGTACTTTGACAACTCCCTAAACGACTTCGCGAGACGAAACGTGAGTACGTAGAACTTCGAAAAGAGTTTAAAATTTCATAAAACTTTGATTACAACTTAACGAAGTACACTGAAAGCTATCAAAGTTACCGAATTTAATATTTAACGGTAAACGATGGAAGACATAAGCTAGAAAGAGGTAGAGAGGTAGTTAAAAGAATAACTATATAGAAAATGACTAGGATAAATGGAGGATTCACTAAAAAGAGGATAGTGATTCATAAAATGTAATTAATCGATTATTATGACATTTGTAATCTATTTATCACATGGCTAATAAAATATTCTTTAAGAGAAAATTATATAATAATATACGGACTTAAACGAAGTATGTCTGAAGATATTAGAAAACGGAATACAAATATAATTCATTCAAATATGTAAGTAATTCCTAGTGTATCATGCAGAAAATCAGTCCTCTGCTCCATTATAATACTCGTTCATCCGCCATTGTTACATTTTCAATCCATATAGCTTGAGTAACTTAAAATTGATTTAGAAATGACTTGAACCTACATTGCGCCTAATTTTAAATTTTAAATCCTTCTGTATTTGATAGACGCAAGAGTGGGAAGAAGCACGTGGGAACGAGCATGCGCAATAGCTGCAGGAGCACGTGGCCGGCGCGAGACACGACTCGTTCAATTTCGGTTGGTTTCGTGCGTCGGTGGCGGAAGGACCGGCGGCAGTCGCGCGCCGGCCGCTGCCTCGAAAGGGTGTTTGTGTTGATCTCGTCGCGATGAAAATCTGGCCGCCATAGAGGTTATGTTTACGCGTGTCGCGGGAACTGGACCGACCACGCATGCCCTTTTGCGTTCGCCTTTTCGAAAATCGTGCATGGATTCGTCGTCACGTGGCCATCGATAAATCCTTTGATCCTCTTCGACTGGTTCGGTTCTTGGAGCAGTCTTGGCAGTGCTTGTCGACGCAGGAAAACTTTGTAAGTACATATGACAACTCACTCATTAATCGTCACTCGAATACCTCGCAAGTCTGTCGAACAAAAATAACGATTCTTTGTGATACAAAACTAACGTTGACCTAAGTAAATTCGTATATCGTTGGCATTTAAATATGGCGCCTGTTTTGCGCGAGTAACCGCGTGATCCAACAATGTCGACTCCGAGTTCGAGTCACGTTGTTTCGAGAATCTATTTGCTGTAGTACTCCTAAGATCGTGTATTAATTGGGGAACACGGGCAGGGACGTTTGTAATGAGAGATTATGGGATCAGGAAGCTACCAGTGTTTGAGGATTATTCAAGACTTTAATAATTCTATATTTGACAGAAAATCGATAGAGTTCTTACATAGGTCAGCGTGGCGTAGAACGAACTCGAATCGCAGACAAAGCGTCACTTTACAGAGGTGTCCCATTTTGCACATTTGATTAACGTAGTAACAGTTTCCTATTAAATTTTGCAAATATGACCTCGGGAAATTTATCTCTTTAGTTATCATTAGTATCACGGATAAGTAAAATTAATTAATGCAGAATAAAGTCAACGTGTAGCGATTTATCTCTGATGTTTATTCCGTTTAATGGCTATATTATTTATGCTCATTGTTGAAATATATAATTGCGTAATATGAATTGCACTTTTTATTCAATGATGAAAGTCGATCACCTTTTAATTGTTATTCGAATTTTTTCCGTAACAAGTGACAAAGTCATAAAGTAAAAATCGATGTAAATTTATTTCACAAAAACCGTAATTATTATTAAACCGAAGTCAATATTGCTTAATTTAATACAAACGTAAAATTTGTATATCTGATCACGTGTTGTACGGTGTACGTATCCTAAATTGGTTAAATTGGAGTAATGAAAACGTAAATAATGGCAGCATTGCGAGCCACAGTGAAACAATAACACATGTTTTTCTATTATTCTCGAATCACTTTGAACTCTGACCTTACTGTTTACATTTTCCATTGTCCTCGACAAAATCGCCCAGATGTTATCGTGCCGTGTTACGAAATGCTCCAAATAAACTGAACGTGAAATATAAGTATAAAACTCGATACCCGTGAGCGTATTTCACTCAAAATGGACGTTCGGCGTGATTTATTCGTCAATAACTATTGAAAAAAGTAATATCTGTACAACATATACAATCGCAATATTTGTTTAATCCTGGGCTGTGGCGGAATGAATATACCGGCACCACGGGATACAGGCAGAAATGGGCAAAATTTTATTCGAATAATGAGTAAACAATTAACCAATTCATGATGATTTGTTCATAATGTTTATTCAATGAAGCAGTTGAGGTTCTGCGTATTGTGAAATATTTCATTCTGTTATTCAAATTTTATTTTCATTCAAAGATTAATACACATGTAGTTGTAGCAAAACGAGAGATAAATGTATAGAATCTTCTATAACAATTTGAAGTTCAGAGTAAATACTTCCTATAAATATAATCAATTTCAAAAAATAAATCCAGATTCTAAGTTTTATTCAGTTAATAACGCAACGAATATCGCTGAACTTTTTATTTTATTCATTATTCGAAATGTTTGATGTGGATAAGAATTTTGCCAATCTCTGGTGTTCGCTGGTCGTATATAACAAGAGGGAGCGCGCATGGAACAATGGCGCGAGTTTTAATATCGTCCGACCACTCATAACCGCGCTAGGTGAATTACGATGGCGGACGTATTTGAGTCCTCGACCGCCGATAACAATTTTATAATCGTCCATTCGGCCTTTTTTCACATTGACAAATGCATCGACAAACGCAAATGTGCAAATAAATTACGCGTTACAAATGTCGCGCGACGACCATTGACCCACGATCGTCCATCCCGATTTGTTAACAATAACGATATGTTTAAAAGATATGTTTAAAAGTTACTATATATGTAGAATACGTATAGAAGTTACTGATATTTAGCGATTTTTTCTGACAATTCGATACGTTTAACATGGATATTTAGTATGTTTGTTAAAAGTACATACTTTGAACTAAGTCCTTATCAATTTTCATTATCGTTTCTCAGCTGCTGAATGGCTAAAAATGAGAATAAATTTTTCAGACGAAAATTGAGGATGTATGAAATTATTCAATAATTGTCGCAGAAAAGTAATTACGAATTGCAATAATATAGAATGTTACTGCGAATATACAGTTCAAATTTCAAATCAATCGGGTGAATAATTTTTTAGAAAAGTTTTCTATTTTTCTATCGTTTCCATTGGTCAAATATACTGTACGATTGGTAAGAATCTATTGGTTTTGATTAACATAGTGGAATTGCCGCCATGTCGTTTACTGAAATTTTTCCATGAAATGTACCACCAACTGGAAATAATGTTCTGAAAAAAAACCATTTACATATGTATGGCTCAAATAGGCGCAGGAATGAAAATCAGTGTACATTTTCATGCAAATGTAGCTTTGTAATGAATGAAACATTATGGCCCCGTAGTTTAACCCTTCGATTTTCAAAGGAAACTTTGAAGGTGTTAGAGTCTTTCGAGTTCAAAGGGTGTTAATTTGAAAAAGTGATACGTAGATATCTTAGAATAACTTGAAAAGACAGTATTAGCGCAAGAGTTTTACCAGCGCTGACCACAGATTTTAATTAACACTAAACCTACCGACTACTATCGTGATGGGACGAAGGACTAGTCTTAGAGACACTTTTTTAAATTAAATGCAAAAATATTTCACGTGAAACTAAATTGAATAATGCATGAAACAATTGTATATAATTCATATGTAGCATATAAGAGCTGTATACAGAAATTTTGAAACGGTCATTTGTCCAGTCGTGGTAAGTTTGGTGTTGAATTCATCACAGACAATGAGTAAAAAATTCAATCAATAAAAATCGCTAAAATTGAACCTTGTATTAATTAGCACAAACATAACAAACACGTGTTGCTTTAAATCTCAATCTCAATCTTTTTAGTAGTTTCCTAAAATTTTTTAAATGATAACTCCATAACAACAGACCCCATAATTAACGCGTGAATTCCTGCATTATTATTCTTTGACGAGCTATCGGAGATAACCCAATCGCTCTCGACTACTATTTGCTTTGACGCGCGTAATTGGATCAGAATTCAAAAAGCAGCACGCGATCGGCGATAATCGATTCGACATTATGAGTTAATTCGGAATTAAAGCGCGATATCAAAGGGCAACGTTTTACTGTCTGCCGCCCTTAAAACTGCCGAAACAATTTAATTCGTGTGTTCCACCTCCCAGCGATTTGCGCGCCGTCAAATTTTTAGCTAGCACGGGTAGAAGGGGAATACTCCCAGCTCTTTATTAAATTTCCGTCGAGGCTTGCACGAAATGTTGCCAAGCTTCCCCGCTCGAACCGAATTAACCGTGGTACGTTTTTGCCCCAAGTAACGGAAAAGAGACGACGTCAACGCTGGATATAATAATTCTTTCTGGAATATCGAACTTCGCACCATTTGATAAACCCGTGATTTGTAGAGACTTGTGACACATGTTTTTGTTAACAAAACGAGAATAAATTCAGATTAACACCCTTTGAACTCGAAAGACTCTAACACTTTCAAAGTTTCTTTGAAAATCGAAGGGTTAAACTATGGCGCCATAATGTTTCATTCATTACAAAGTTACATTTGCATGAAAATGGATCCTTAACCTTCTGTTTTAATACTGCATTAATAGTGGTTGTAATCTTCATGACTTTTGGAATTCATTAATCAGGGATTTCTCTTAAAGGGTCTTCTCTTTTTCCCTTCAAGTTCAGTCGATTCTTTGGTAAAGATTAAGAAAATTAAGCAAAATTGAGAAATTATTTTGTAAATAGTGAATGGTATTAAAAACAGAGGATTGAAGACTTAGATACATAGTCCATTTTCACAATTCTGTGATGAATTTAAACGCTAAGTATTCTAAGCAATATATTGCATATTCTTCGCTCATACTCATCAAAGTAAATGACAGTTCGATTATTATGGACAATGAACATGCTACTTATTAGATCAATGTACCAACGTATGAAAATAATTTAACCTTTTCGGTGCTCTGCGCGAGTGTACTCGTCAAATTATTTTGTTCTTGTCGTGCTCAAGACAAGAACAAAAATCGCATGAGCTTTTTAAATAGGAAAGAGCTTAAGACGAGTTAACTCATTAACTCACTAACAAGAATTTCATGCGATTTAATTCGTCTTGAGTACAACAAGAACAAAGTAATTTGACGAGTATATTCGCGCAGAGCACCGAAAAGGTCAAACCACCCTTTCAAAGTACAAAAAAAAGAAAAAGGACATGTATTTAATTACTCACCAATGATTATAATATTCTGTTATGAATACTGGGTCATCCTACGTTGCTTCAGAAGATTTTCAACTGGTCATAGTGAAATATTTCATCCCCTTCGCGCGTATAATTTCGCGAATATCTCGGTGGCACGTGACTAGATAGGCCAAACGATAAAAAAGGGACAATGCTCGCAATCGATGAAGCTATTGTAAGAGCTGACGTAACCATCTCTACCGACCAGCCTTTTGCGGAATCGCCCGCATAAGCGAAAATCAGTTCTCTTCGACCGTCGCGCGAAGTGTTGCAAAATTTCAGGTCTTTTGAAGCTCCCGCCATTTCCATCATTTGTTCGTTGGGAAAGTTGCCTCGAAATGCGCACTTTTTTGTCGTTTCAAATATTCTCGCGACGTTGCGTTGAAATTTGCAATTGCTCTACTTCATGGGAACGTCGTTTTATTTCCCAGACTGGAAAAAATAGAAAAATATCAGAACGTTCCTGAAAATATTCTGCATTTCTAGATCTTAACACTCCGTTGCAATGACTTTTAAACTTTCTTGAAAGTTTGTTCGTTCAAAATTAATTTTTTTGATTCTATTAGAGAAAATCTCTTGGGAAATTGAATATTATCAAAATTCATAATATCAATAATTACAAAAACAACAATTTACTGTACCATGCACTGA